GAAAATAGTTTTTATGTAATTCAAACAACGAGTTTATTGTAAGGATAGCAGGTGCTGATCCAGGCTAACGCTCTATGGATCGCAGGAGTGTGTCTTGGCTATCACATTTTGAGAATTTTTAACAGTTGTCGGGAATGAGATTATATATAAAGTCTGCGAAAGTATATTTTATAAAAAAAAAACTTAAATTCATTACGGCGCATTTTGTACCGCATCATGTAAAGAAGTGTGAATTGGCCTATATCATAGCAGTCGGTCACTTGTCAAAGAGTTTTGCCGCTAAATTAGCTGCGACTTAGAAATGAGGAACCTAAATTCGCGAAGTACGGCTGGGATGGGAAAAGTGAACAAGTTGGACCGAAATTCTATTGGATATTCATTAGGGCTGTCTCTTATACACATCTAGATGTGTATAAGAGACAGGTGTTAAACGAAAAAATAAACCATTAAAAAAATAAAAATATAAAATAAAAATTTTAAATGGAAATAAACCCTCCCTCGTAGCAACAATGACAGAAAAAAATCGCAGCCTTTTTAAAAAAGTCAACCACGAATACATATACATATGTATATACTACGGATATATACTGAGTCGCTACATGCTGGCAACTCGCCTGCTTTACTCTTGAAGTGGCGCGTTTGATTTTATTGTAGCGTGAAATTATTTTGTTGCGACGCGTTGGCGCGTAATTCTTTTTTATTGGCGTAATTATTTGTGATTGCACAGCAGCAGGGTTCACACCCACGTACTGTGGGGTACAACCAAGCACTAGGCTGCCTGGTCACTTCCGCTTTTCGGCTTTGCCGACTACTCCGCCAATTCTGTGTTTTGCCATTACACTCACTTTCAACTCGCACACTACAATGTTTACACACATACATATATACATAGCGCTAGAGGAATGTTAAATTTTTTGCCACTTGTATAGCATTTGCCACTCATTTTGGTATTTATTTTCTTTTCATTGCTCAAAAACACCGCCATTGCTGAYATAGTGCGCCCCTTGATTGTGAAATTGGATGGCGAAAATCGGCCACTGTCTGCCGATCACTCGTATCAGCTGCATTGTAATGTTATCGGCTCGCGACCGGCACCGACGATTACCTGGTGGAAGGGYAGCACACCTATGAAGAATACACATGAAGTGGTGAGTAGTGAATTTGCTTGGAATTTA